CATCTATACATTTGTTGCCCTCATCATTCCCAAAATTCGCTTGCCTTTTGGGTTCCCAGAATCAGCTCATTTTCCTTTTTCCCCCTCCCCCTCCCTTCTCTGCCCCCCTCTACAACCATCTTTTATCTGTCTTCAGCACCATGTGACTTGCACGTGAGATTAATGGTAGTGCTTAATAGCTTCTTCATTCTGTTGGATCCCCTCTCTTTGGAATGGGCACAACTATGGATCCCTTCTGGTTGACTGGCCAGGTGAGTGTCTTCTAAATTTCTTCCAGCATTGCATTCATTGTTGAAACATCGCAATTGGTGTTCTGCCAATTCCTGGAATTTTGTTTTCACCAGTGCCTTCAGGGTGGCTTGAAATTCTTCAAGACCCTCGATCATCCGCTGCCTCCTGGCATGGCTCAGTGTCAACAAGTCCTACCTCCCATCTTCGCCGGATGCTTTCTGTAGTGGTGAATGTTTCACTCATAGAATCATTCACGATTGCAGCTTGAGGCTTGAATTTCTTCAGTTCTTTCCGCTTGAGAAATATTGAGGATTCCCCCCACCTTTTTTTCTAACTAAAAGCCTCTGCCGTCCCATACAACCGTTTGTCATGTTCAGCTGCCTTTTGCAATGTTCCGTCCAGCGGCTTGACATCCTCATTTCTCCCACTGGCTTCAGTTACGCTGCATTCAAGAGCAGGCTTCAGCGGCTCGTCTAGCACCATCTGGTCTTTCTCCTTTCCTGCCTTTGACGACCTCTTGTGTCATCATGGAGGCCGTGCTTGATGTCACCCCGCAGCTCCTCCGCACTTCTTAGTGCTCAGTGCCTCCAGTCTATGCTCTGACAAAAATCATTTTACTGGGGGCTCTTACAGCTCTTATAACATTCCATACATCAATGTGTCCAGCATATTTGTACATATGTTGCCGTCATCATTTTCTAAACATTTACTTTCTACTTGAGCCCTTGGTATCAGCTCCTCTTCCCCCCTCCAATCTATTCTTGAGATGGTTTCGAAATTCAGCGGGGCGATCCTCAGAGTCAGACTTTCGCTCTGTGGATTTGTTTTCATTTTCTTCAGCTCCAACTTGAACTTGCTTGTGAGTAACTGATGATCTCTACCACAGCCAGCCCTCCCATCATCTCTTCCCACAGATGCAGTCCTTTTGATTCCTGTGGATTCCACCCAGCAAGATCCCAGGGTCTAGTCACTGTCCGTGTTGTTGAAAAGAGAGTGTCACAATGGTCTTGTGCAGTCCTGTCATGGTCTCGGCACGTCACAGATGACTGCGTTTGACTTCCGCGTTCTAGCCACCGGGATTCGTCGGTGCGTTTGGGCTTGATGTTGGATCTGTTTCTGACTGCTTGGTGTGCACATTTGAACGTCACATTAAGTGGTTGTCCCTGTAGGCATGTGCATATGCTATCACTAATAGCACTGTACTTCAGGATAGGTCTAGAACTTTCCTTTTGGCCGATCAATGTGATGCCACATGCCAAATCTTCAATTTGTCATCCCCAGCATCCTAGACCACGTGACTGCCAAGTTCAGGATAGTCTCTGCTAGTCTGTGTCTGCTTGCTAATTTCCAGGAGACCCGTCTGGCTGAGGTAGGATGGGCAGACTCTGTGTCCGTTATCTGGTTGGAACCAGCTTTGCCGTGTTGGCTCTTTGCCCCGGCAGTTTCTATGCCACCTGCCCAGAGACCCTGTGGCTAAGGGGAACTTTGGTTTCTGGTTAGTGGTCTAAGTAGTGCCTGAGTTACCAGCTAGAAAACTGAGCCCTGCGGGGGCTGCCATCAGGACCCTCACGGCCCAGGAGAGCGTGTGGCAGAGCCGCAGGGCCGCTCGGTGGTCACGGCTCCGAAAGGCCTGTCTCCATGTCTGGCCTCGGGAAAAGGACATGCAGGCCGAGAGCGCGCCTCTGCTTACAGTTCGGCATCAGCTCCCTAAGCTGCAAGGTAGCCAGTGCGAGACAGCAGGGCGAGCTGGGAACCGTGGCACGCGTCCCTTCTTAGAGGCATTCGATGCAAACACAGTCACACACAGTCAAGTCCAGGGAAACGAAACAAAAGCAGAATTCAACCCACGGCCTCCAGCTTTCGATGTCCAAATTACAAACTGCGCGAGGTTTCTCCCCCACCCCCAACGCCCGCCCCCACGTCAGAGACTTACTAAGAGGCGGAGTCATTGAGCTGGTACTCCGCGGCTCTGTCGAAGCAGGCTTGCACGCCGTCATCCTTCCACAACTTCTTGATGACGTCCACCAGCTCCGGAGGCATGGTGCCCTCCTCGATGGAATCCGCCAGGTTGCCGAGCTGTCGCCCATCATCCTATAAGGCAGAAACCTGGCTGAGAACGACACCGGGGTCATGACTGCCCGGGAGGCTTCTGGGAGCGACTTCTGAATTTCTCCCAGAGCGCAGGAAGGCGGCGCCTCCCAGGAAGAGTAGGTACCAAGAAGAAGCACTGTGGCTTTGTGAGTTGTTGCCCCAGAGACAGAGCATGCGCCACATCCGGCCCTGGGTGGTCCTCTCTGTGTTTCTGCCTTCCATCAGTCGTCCCCCAGCGCACCTCCACAGAGCAGGTCTGCTTCTGGGGGAGGTGGCAAGTTTAGTGGCCAGGATGATCAGGAAATCCATTGCTTTCGTCTTGCAGTGGTGCACAGCCAAGGAAAGGCCAATACTGGAATGAGCACTTTACCTTAGACACACTCCATGGCCAGGAGCCCTGGTGGCACAGTGGTTATACATTGCGCTGCTAACTGCAAGGTCAGCAGTTTGAAACCACCAGCTGCTCTGAGGGAGAAAGATGGGGCTTTCTACTCCCATACAGAGTCACAGCAGTTCTCCCCTACCTTGTAGGGTCACTATGGGCCAGCGATGACTTGATGGCAGTGTCGGGGATTGGGGGGGAGGGTAGGGGGTGACCAAGGCACAGAGCCCAAAGAAGGTGGCCAAGTAAGACACAACTCGGGGGAAGCTGAGCACGCAGCTCGCTGCCTCGGGGCCCATTCTGGCTCACAGCACCCCCGTCTTTCTCCCTCGGAGCCCTGGTGGTGGGCTGCAATCCGCATGGTCGGCAGTTCAAAACCACCAGCAGCTCCTCAGGAGAAAGACTGGGCTTTCTACTCCTGCAAACAGGTACAGCCTTGGAAACCCATGGGCGTCACCGAGTCAGCCAGCGCTGACCTGGGCAGTGAGTCAGCGGCACATTTGTGACCCCGGCGACTGCTGTCGGGTTCATGTCTGACTCAGAGTGGTCCCTGTGACCCAGTAGCTCATCTCCCCAGGAGGGGTCACCAGGCCTTTCTCCCATGGACTTACCAACCTTTCAGTGACACGCCCCGCGCCGCCCCAGGGCTCCTTTCTTATAAAGGCTGGAGCTACTTCCTTCTCCCGAAGGACCTGGAAAGGTTGGCGGAACCTCGGCAGGTAGCATTTTCGTCAGACACAAGTGGTTTCGGACCCATCGCTGGCCTCTCTCCCTTTGTCCTGGCTCCACCCTCCACCGCATACCAGTCCCCACATACCGCGCGGCCTGTGTTGGCATAGTCGATGCCCAATGTAGACATGGCCCGGATGATGGCCAGGATCGACTGCAGCACGTTGCCGTAGATGATGGACTTGAACTCCAGGCACTCCTCCGGCGTGTAGCCGTCCTGGTGGATGATCCTGCAAGGGGCAGACACCCAGCCCCCCGCTGGACCTGAGTAACCAGGCCAGAGCCGTGGGGATCTGGGGACTGAAAGGGTCGCAAGCACCTTCCCCCTGTGTCCCCATCGATGTTCCATGGTGGAGGGTGAGGCAGGGCAAGGCATGTCGGGAATCAATACTGCTTTTGTCTGGCTCACGTCTTTATGAAGTAAAATGCCAATTTCTGTAAGCCCCCAAATTTATGAAATGGGACAAGTGGCAGCGAAGGAAAGCGGACAGCTTCAAATGTTTATGCCAGGAGAAAAAGAAATTCAATTGGGCAGGGGTGTGGCAGGGAGAGAAAGAGTATTGGGAACCATACTTTCCATTCTCTACACGGCCCCTTACAGCTCACTGAAGCACCCTTGGCCCTGAGTACTACCCTTGGGTACTCTGGGCCTTCGTCCCTACTCACTTCATCTGCTTGACGATTGTGCTCTTGCCTGACTCGCCGGCGCCTGTGGAGGAAAAGGCTGATGTTTGAGATCCCCGCCCGCTCCTCCTCCACCCCTTGGCCAGAGAGGTCTTGGCCTCTGCTTGGTTGGGAGAACACAGGAACCAGTGTTCTCGCTGTGGCAATTGGGGGGCGGGGGGCGCTCTTTGATGCACTCTAGGATGCTTATCAACATTCCTCACCTCTCCCCGCTAGAGGCTACTAGGCCCCCTCCAGCTGGGACAGCCACACTGTTTCTAGACAGGGTCACACATCCCTGGAGAGTGTGATCTGCTCTTTTTCCCACCCACTGGTGTCTGAGGACACTGGTAGTGGGGCAGGCAGGAGGGCTGGGTGCATTGTCATCTTGCTAGCTTCTTGTAGTAACTCATTCACCCTCCACTCCGCCTCCTAACCCCCACGCACCTTCCCCCTCTCCCCCTCCCGTCTATTCCACTCGGAGACCTCAGCCTCTGCCCACTTCGCTTGTGCTTGTTTGCTCCCGCTAAACGGCTCATCCTGATCCCGGAGGAAAGCTGCTTAGGCTTAAGTGCTCTTGCCGTGGCCCTGCCCTCCCTCAGTTTCCCCTACCCCTGAGCTTACAGAGCTAAGCTCCTTTAGTGTGCCCTTACGGGATGTGCCACAGATGGGCCGGAGAAGAGAGGTGCTTCAGCCAGGCCCCAGCGGGGCCTCTGCTACAGAAAGCCCCCCTGGCCCTGCTAGTCACTGGGGGGGTTTCTCCTGACGCTTGCCCGTCTCAGTCCCTTTGCCAGCCCTGATGGTTTCTCAGGCTGAGCTGCTGAAGGGCCCTTCCTTTCTGGGCACGGCCCAGCGATGACGCAAGGATGCGGAGAGGCAGCTCCTGAAGGCCAGGAAGGCACTGCTGATGGAGACCCCACCCCGTCCCTCTCGGGGATCCGCACCTCCAAATATCTTGTTCCTCTATCAGCAAGGAGAAGGGCCCCTGTAGCCCCCCGTCGTGTGGAGGGGCCGCTGGACCATTTCACGGTGGCTGTGTAGACCCCCCTGTTCACTCTGCCTCCAAGCCCCCAGCCTGCTCGCCTGAGCTGGGGTAGGGGAGAGGAAAATGCCCTCCCTGCCCCCCCCCCCCGACTTTCTGGAAGCCCCTACCACCCCGGGTCAACAGGAAGGGCAGGGCTCCCCTGGGCTCGCCTCCCGTGGTGCGCACCCAGCAACAGCAGCTTGATGGTCTTCGCCTCCTTGTCAGCACCCTCCTGCAGCTTTTTCTCCAGCTCCTTGGACCTCTTGGCCAGCTCCTTGTCCTCCGCACTGGCTCCACTGCCCATCCTTCTGCGTCTCCTCGGCTGCTTCCTCTGCTCACACGCTTCTCTTCTGGAGTTTCCTATCTCAGAAGACAAGGGGGAGGAAAAAAGTCGGGATGAAGTACCAGCTCCTTAGCTTCCCTACGTGCGGCTGGGTGAAGGAACAGGCTATGTCTCCCGACTAGTTCTCCTGTGCAGGCTCCCTTGGCTGAGACACCCTACCCCAAGGGGAGGCCTGCTTCTTAGTCTGGGGATTAAGCTAATTAAGGGTTAAGCTAATTAAGAGCTCACTGTGACAAAGGGCAAAGACGCCCTGTGTTTGTGTGGTAGGGAGATGATCTGTTGGGTCCTGACACAGGACCTCTCCAGAGTCAGAGGGCGGCAGGCCTCATCCCTCTGAGAGGCTTACCCCTGAAAGCCTGCTTCCTGGATTCACCTCCATCCCAGCTGGACATTAGGGGTGCCCACAAGCATAGGACACACTCCCCCTGCCGAGCCCTCCACAGCACAAGACTTCACCCAGCACAGCAAGATGGTCCCGGGAAGGGTCTCTTGTTTGGGGAGGCGCCCCCTCCGTGGGAAGTTCAGAATTGCTGCGCGTGCTACCCTGCTGCTGTCCCAGGAAGCTGTTCACTCTGGTCTTTGGCATTTGCTTGTCTCTGCACCCACTCTGGTTCTTAGCACCTACCTACTGCTTTATGTTGGACACCTGCTTTGTTTACCGATCTGTTTCTCATCCAACCTCCGCCCCCACCCGACGACCCCTGGCTCTGAATTCCTCCCCCTGGATATCAAGGATCCCCTAGTCCGCCCCTTAGACCTTCGGGGTTATTAGAGGGCCCTCAATAATTTGGTGAGGGTGGGAGAATAGGGTACGTGGTAGATTGTAGGGCTGCTTCCCCGGGACCCATGGAAGCACTTGAAGCCCAACTTCATCCCGTAACTGCACTTTGCGGGGCTTTGTGGCACCTCACAAGACAAACTTTGCCTCCTTGGGAGGTGGGATGCCAGTCTCTGGCCCCCTCAGGCTCCTTCCTGGAGAGGCAGGGGAATGCAGTGTAGCATCCCACGGGGAAGGCTATGCCCATCCTTCCCGTACAGTGAGTCTTGGTAGCGGAGTCTCCCTCCGATGAAAAGACTGTGGAAGTCTGGTACCCAAACTGTTCTCCAGAGACCAGCAACGTCCCCTCAGCTGGTGAGCAAGGCAGGTGCTCAGGCCTTCACCCCACCTCCTGATTTAGGATTGGGGTTCCAGGAGATTTGGGGGCACTCCCCTAGAGAGCTGACTTCCCCCCAACTTGCCTAACCTTAAGAATCACCTGCCATGCTCCCGGATTCCACTTAATTCTGGGCGTCACTGACAGGAAGGAGCAGCCTGGCTTCAGTGACCTTGAACTATGATCTGTACATGCACCTCCTTCTCAAATAGGGTTTAGAATCAACTTCCTCTGCTAACAACACCAATCTCTGAGCCAGAAAGACGGTCATTTTTAACGACCCCGAGTGGTTCCTGCCATCTGGCCAGCTGGCTTCGAACAGCGGCTCTCAACCTCTGGTGTGCCTTGGGGTTGATCAGGGGAGTTTAGTTGTTAAAGACTGATTTAATTGGTCTGGATTGCAGTCCAGGCCTGGGGATTTTTTTAATTTCTCCTGAGTGATTCAAGTGTCCAGCCACAGTGGAGAACCTCTGTGCTTCCAGGAGCTCAGTTGCTTGGCCCTGGGCGAGCTGGCTCCATGAGTCAATGGCCCTGTAGACCCAGGGAGTAAAAGCAGACACTAGTCTCCCCCCACCCAGACCATCGCCAGTCATCTTCCTCGTACCCACCGCCCTCCCTTCTGTCTCTGGCCTGGGTACCTGGCCAAGTAGCCCCAGGCCTGGAGCCTGGACACTCAGGGCTGATAGAGAAGCAGGCACCGAATCGAGGGGGTCAGAGGGTGGGAGGGCAGGACAGGAGGGAGGGGAAAAAAGAGGAGCTGATGCCAAGGGCCCAAGTAGAAAGAAAATGTTTTGGAAACGATGATGGCAACCTATGTACAAATGTGCTTGATACAATGGATGTATGGATCGTTAAAAGAGCTGTAAAAGCCCTCAATAAAATGGTTTATTAAAAATAAAATAAAATAGAAAAGAAGAAAGGTTAAAAACAAAAGCAGCAAGCACCAAGGCGCTGCCCTCGATGAAGTTTTCCCAACCAGACACTGGCAGGTGCTTATCGACTTACAGGAGAGCAGGAGTCTCTTTGACATTGTGACTGTCTTGGAACCTTGGCTATAAGGTTTCAGTAATTATACCTGCCCACCGGCCCGGGCTGGCCTGCCCGCATTATTGGTAACTTACACCGAACAAGCCATCGCTGTGCCCCAGGGTGGCACTGCTCAGAGCCAGGCACCGCTGGGAGCCCTGTAGGGGATTGCTCTGGGCCACCACGCTTCCTTCACACAGCGCCACGTGAAGTGCTGGTGAACGCCCCACTTTCCAGAGCCCATCAGGAGGCTTCAGGGTGAAGCCACCCGCTCACGGCCTCACAGAGCAGGTTTGCCGGCTTCCCCGAGCGGTGATCTTTCCACATAGCCACACAGTGAGAGGAAGGACGCTTGTGGGTGGGCGAAGGGAGTGGGCAGACGCTTGACCTCAGTCGCGCAGCAGCACTGGCTGCCTTTACAGGAACCATGGACCTGACCGGCACCCAGGCTCAGTGTTTGTGCTCTTTCCCTTTTCCAGCTGCCGCCTCTGCAGACCTCAGCGTTCGCTGCTTCTGCTTTGGCCTCTGGCTCGCTGGGTGGAACTTCCCCATTCCGACTGTTAGGAGAGGGGACTCCTGACCGCAGCCTGGCCCCTGCAAGCGCAGGCCCACCGCTGTGGCCTCCTGCCGCCTGGCTGGGCTGCCCTCTGTGCCTTCTTCCCAGGGCCAGGGAGGCTTGTTCGCTTTTTATGAAACGATGCTGTGAATTTGTGTAGTGGGACTCTTCATTTTCAAAGCACTTAACTCTACGACCGCGTTTGGGAACAGCCTCGTGGTGCAGTGGGCCATGCAGGCCAGGTGCTTCAGCAGTCAGAGACCGGAAGCCCTGAGAGATGCTAGCCCGTGTGAACTGGCAGGCAGTGTCAGAGCACACAGTCCTAAAAGCCACATCATTGTGCATGGAAGAGGGATCCCCATTCCCCAGGAAATCGGGATGAGTTTCCAGAGGGAGGTGAGGCAGTCGGATCGCTCTGACACCCTGTGTGAGGGACTGTGGGCTAGCCTTGGGCCACGGATGGAGTGGGGAGGGCGTGAAGAATGAGGAAGTGCCTTGGGATCTTTGGCTAAAGGAATCCAGTGCTGGCTCCGGGGAATTCAGAACTGTGTAAAACCTAGCCTCCACCCCTGGTAGGAGAGACAATTATGCACACAGCTAGCCATAGAAGGAGAGAGGGAGGGGTGGTACATGAACAGAATTGCAATAAACAGTCAATCAGAACAACTGAGATGGGTGCCTGGCACTTGGGGGACAGGAGAGAGCTTAGGCAGGGGGTGGGGTGTTAAATGGTGTGGAGGCAGGCGTTTCCAAATGTTCTTAGAGGAGGGTCCATGGAGGGATGGAGTGGCACTTGGGGACAGCAAAGGAACACTGAGGGAAGGGCTTTGAGTAACAAGACAAAACTCTGGTGGGGATTTGTAGCACCAGCCAGGGCCCTGCACTGCCAGCACCCTGCGGGTGGGAGGAGGGCACCCTCTGAGAAACTGGAGCCCAACAACATGGTCGGAAAGTGCTAGTTCCATGGGGAGGTGGATTGTGTTGTGGACTCTGTCTCGGCCTGTAGGTGAAACTGAACGCCTGAGAATCAAGCCCAAATTTGCCCAGGGCCTAGGGGAGTTGGGCTGCAATCGGTAAGGTCGGCTGTTCAAAGCCACCCACCGCTCCTTGGGAGAAAGACAGGGCTTTCTACTCCCATTAAGAGTTAGTCCCGGAAACTCGACCGAGGGCAGTGAAGAGTTTTGGGGGAAGGAGCCCTGGTGGCTGGGATCCAATCCACATGGTTGGAAACCACCAGCGGCTCTGTGGGAGAGCCTGGGCACTCTACTCCCGTTACCGTCTCGGAAGCCCACAGCAGAGTGGCCGTGACTCAGCACTGGCTGAGGGCATGAGTTGGGATTTTGGAGGCAAAGCGCTGAGGGTCTGTCTTGAAGCCTGGGGGCTCTCGCTCCCAAGACTAACATCTGCAGAGTGCTCTAATAGCTCAC